TATATACATGTACATCTTACATGGGAAGAAAAAAATTACAAACCATACTACACTAGCTTGAAAACAAATAACTCCACACGACCATGAAATACTCTTTCTCTACTCTTATAATTGTTATAATCTTGAGCCTAATTCTTGGCTTATCTTGGATCGAAGGTAAATCAGTGCTTATCTTTATCTTCATCGAGTGCATATATGACTTGTTCAATTATCAAAACTAATCTTTAAGTCTTGACGTTTCCCATTACATAGCTGATTGTTCGATAGGTGAAGGAAAACGCGATTGCCATTCAGGATTCTCTTGTAGCTCTGATAACGATTGCATATTTAAGCTATGCGAAAATTTCGTCTGTGTGCGCAAGTTGTCTCGCGGCTGCGTAGTAGGAGGCAAGAAGAATAATTGTAGACTGGGTGATCCCTGTGTGTCTAGTGATGACTGCCAAACGCCTGGTTGTGCAGAAAATGATAGTGGAACTACTGTTTGCGTCTGATCATAAAAAAACCTTTGTATTTGGTTTATCCATGGTCGTTTTTATAGGGTTTCATAATTTTTCTTCTTTTTTTGCAAAGCGACAATAATATAGAACGATAAAGTGTAATGTGTCACGAAATTATGCTTGAAATAAATCCCTAGACAGCGAGTACCAAAGTAAATTGCTTAATGAGATACATGAGCCAGATGACAAAATCTTCATAAAAAAAAATTTAAAGCAATCCTTCGATATCTTTCACTTTTAATTATTAGATTTTTTCTTCATGTTCGATATTTTAAATTACGAAAAGAAAAAATTTTAATTTGGCAATAACTTTTGCAATAATTTGCCTTAACATTCGACTTTATTGGCGCAAAGATATTTAAAATTATGTAAATTACATAAAAAAAAAAAAATTGGCAAACTTTTTTGTCAATATTTAGCCTAATGGTCAACAAACATGTCCCTTATTAAAACTTAAAATTAGTAATTTTAAATCCATATTTTTATTTAAATAAATTTATAGTATAAGTGCAAAATATTTATAATAAATAAAATTAAATTTTGTTTAATTTTAACAATCAATTTTAATATGATAAATGTATTTATATAAAATCTTAAATTGGTATTGTAAACTTTTAAAATTCGTTTTTATGTAAGAAATTTTAAATGTAAACTATGTCACGTGATCAGCAAGCAAAATATGAAAGACAGAATGATAAAGTGAAATATGAAAGATAAAATACAGTAGATGTGATTATTGACTAATGGAGTTAATAAAAGGCAGTTAACAAAATAACTTTTAAATAAAGAATTAATTTTAATAAATAACTTTATACAAATATTTTTAATTTTCAAATTACTTGTTAAACTTGACTTAAAAAGTAGAAGAGCCAAGTTTAATAAGTAGAAAGAATAATAGATTTACCCAAATTTTAAGTAAATTTATTAATTTATATCATTTTATATAAGATGATTTATTTATTTACATATATTATATAAAATAAGTTATGCAATGATACCTAATACTCTTATATATATTTTATACCAATTTTATAAATGATTGGCTATTCTGTAACTTTGAAATATAACAGATCTTTTTATTTAGAAAATTACAAAAATTAATCATTATAATTTAGTTTATATATAAAAGTTTATTTGAGTCATTACAAATTATATTTTTATAATATTTATTTTATATATAATATTACTTAAAGCTTCAAATAGGTCAGTTAGAATCAAGTCAATCAAGTTACCTGAACTGAGAGGATTAGGTTAAGTCAAATAAAAATCTGACCTAATTTAAATTTTTATTTGACCTGACCTAAACTGACATGACTTAATCTAACCTAATTTGATCAAATTATTTTAATAAACAATATATTATATTTGATTTAATTTAAAACTCTAATTTATTTGTTAATTTTCTTTTGCTTTTTCTATAAAAAAATTGTATGTGAAATAA